ACCTTATTTTGTTAATGTGGTGTATCATGTTTATTAATTTGCAGATATTGAGCTTCCTTGTATCCCTTGAATAAATCCTGCTTGTTCATGGATCTTTTTAATGTGTTTTTGAATTTGGCTTGCTAATATTTTGTTGAGGAATTTTGCACCTATGCTCATCAGGGATATTGGCCTGCAATTCTTTGTTTTTGTAGTATCTTTGTCTGATTTTGGTAGCAGGGCAATGCTATGCTGGCTTTGTATAATGAGTTTAGCAGCATTCCTTCCTCTTCAATATTTTGAAATAGTTTGAGAGGGATGGGTATTAACTCTGTTAAAAATATTTAGTAGAATTCACCCATGAAACTACCTTGTCCTGGACTTTTGTTTGTTGGGAGTTTTTTGGTTACTGATTCAATTTCATTATTAGTAATCAGTCTGTTCAGATTTCCTATTTCTTCCCCATACAGTCTTAGAAGATTGTATGTTTCTCGGAATTTATCCATTTCTTCTAGGTTGTCCAACTTGTTAATGTATAATTGTTCAAAGTAGTCTTTCCTTTGTATTTCTATGGTGTCAGTTATAACTGCTCTTTCACTTCTGATTTATCTATTTGGGCCCTCTCTCTCTTTCTCTCTGTCTCAATTAGTCTGGCTAAAGATTAGTCAATTTTGCTTATCTTTTCAAAGAACCAACTGTTAGGTTCATTGATATTTTAAATTATTTTTTAGTTTTTATTTCATTTCTATTTGCTCTGACCTTTATTATTTTCTTCCTTCTAGTGACTTTGGGCTTTGCTTATTCAGTCTTTTTCTAATTCCTTGAGATGTAAGGTTAGGTTGTTTACTTGAGATTTTCTTCTCTTGAGGTAGGCCTATATAGCTATAAAATTCTCTCAGAACTTGTGCTGTGTCCCATAGGCTTTGGAGCATAATGTTTCCATTTTCATTTATTTCAAGATATTTGATTTCTTTAGTTGTTCAGTAGCATGTTGTTTAACCTCCACAAGTTTGTGTTTTTTCCCAGTGTTCTTGTAATTGATTTCTAGTTTGATATTGTTGTGGTCAGAAAAAATGTTTGATATGATTTCAGTCTACTTAAATTTATTGAGACTTGTTTTGTGACCTAATGTGATCTATCCTGAAGAATGTTTCATGTGCACTTGAAAAGAATGTGTATCCTGCAATTTTTGGATGGAATATATATATTCCATCTATACATATGTATATATTTACTATAAAGTCCATCTGGTCTAATGTCATTTCAGACCACTATTTCCTTATTCATTTTCTGTTTGTATCATCTATCTACTGATATAAGTGGCATGTTAAAGTGCCCTACTATTATTGTAATACTCCCAATTTCTCCCTCTATGTCTGCTAATATTTGCTCTATATACTTAGGCACTTCTGGGTTGGTTGCATAGAGATTTACAGCCATATCCTCTTTTTGAATTGATCCTTTAATCATTATGTAATTACATTTGGCACTAAAAACTTTGTTTATACTCTATTCCTGTAAATTTAAGCTTTCATATTGTACCATCTTGTTTAGTAGTTTTGTCTTTTAATAATTCCTAGTATCTGGTAGTAGAGAATGTACCTGTAACTTAAGCTATTCTTTGATAATCTTACCTATTTTTTACCTATTGAATATTCAGTAGGCATCTTTTTGTAATCCTTTCTGCAACCAGCAATTCTTTTGTGGTTTTAATTTAATGTTTGCTTCCAGGAAATTTAGTATATTCTTCTATGCAACTATACCTTCTGTTAACTTTATTAGTATCTTCATTTTTTGGTAACTTTTATAAAAATTGTCTATATTGTTAAGAGTCTCAAGATTTTTTTGTTCTTGATTTATTATAGTAAAGGGGTTCTCTTTGTGTCATTTTACTTCTTATATTGCTTAATAGGAACACTACTATAGACAGTATATTTTATTTACTTAACTGCTTTATTAAGCTATCACCTTCAGGTGATAGTATTTTAATCTGTTACCAAAATGTATACCTTTTATTTATTTATTTTTAATGATTTTAAAAAATGTTTTATTATGAGATAATTGTCAGTTTACATGTAGTTGTAAGAAGTAACACAAAGAGATATCCCATGCTCTTTACCCAGTTTCTCACAATAACACCTTACATAACTATTCTGTAATATCACAACTAGGAATGTACATTTGTGTAATCTACTAGCATTATTCAGATTTCACCAGGTTTATATACACTCTTTTGTGTGTTTGTGTGTATTTAGTTCTGTGTATTTCATCACACTTGTAGATTTATGTGGCCATCATAACAATCAAGATATAGATAACTCCATGAAAAAGCTCCCATGTGCTACCCTTTTGTAGCCATATTCACCTCCTTTCCTCTACATACTATTTCTGAAAACCACTAATCTATTCTTAATCTCTATAATCTGTCACTCCAAAAATATTATATAAATGAAATCATATAGTATCTAACCTTTTGAGATTAGATTTTTTCACTTAGGACAATTCCCTTCATGTCTTATTACTCGATTTGAACTGCTCTAACAAAATACCACACTTGGGTGGCTTGTAAACCACAAATTTATTTCTCAGTTCTGGAGGCTGGAGGTCCAAGATTAGGGTGTCAGCAGGGTCTGTGTCTCGTTAGAGCCTGCTTCCTAGTTCACATAAGGCTGTCTTGTAACTTCACATGGTGGAATGACAAAGGAGTTCTCTCAGAACTCTTTTATTGATTTTATTATTTTTATTTTGGTATCATTCATATAAAATCACATGGGCAACATTGTGGTTACTAGATTCCCTCCATTATCAAGTCCCCACCACATACCTCATTACAGTCATCACTGTCCATCAGCGTGGTAAGATGCCTTAGAGTCACTACTTGTCTTCTCTTGTCTTCTCTGTGCTATACTGCCTTCCCCGTGCCCCCCCCCCACATTATGTGTACTAATCGTAATACCCCTTATTCCCCTTATCCCTCCCTTCCCACCCGTCCTCCCCAGTCCCTTTCTTGGGTTAGTCCATTCTTGGGTTCTGTGATTCTGCTGCTGTTTTGTTCCTTCAGTTTTTGCTTTGTTCTTATGCTCCACAGATGAGTGAAATCATTTGGTACTTGTCTTTCTCTGCCTCACTTATTTCACTGAGCATAATACCCTCTAGCTCCATCCATGCTGTTGCAAATGTTAGGAGTTGTTTTCTTCTTATGGGTGAATAATATTCCATCGTGTATATGTACCACATCTTCTTTATCCATTCATCTACTGATGGACACTTAGGTTGCTTCCATTTCTTGGCTAGTGGGAATAGTGCTGCAGTAAACATAGGGGTGTATATGTCTTTTTGAAACTGGGATCCTGCACTCTTAGGGTAAATTCCTAGGAGTGGAATTCCTGGGTCAAATGGTGTTTCTATTTTTAGTTTTTTGAGGAACCTCCATATTGCTTTCCACAATGGTTGAACTAGTTTAGATCCCCACTGGTAGTGTAGGAGGGTTCCCCTTTCTCCACATCCTCACCAGCATTTGTTGTTCCTAGTGTTTTCAATGTTGACCATCCTAATTGGTGTGAGGTGATATCTCATTGTGGTTTTAATTTGCATTTTGCTGATGATTAGCAATGTGAAGCATCTTTTCATGTGCTTGTTGGCCATCTGAATTTCTTCTTTGGAGAAGTGTCTGTTCATATCCTCTGCCCATTTTTTAATAGGGTTATTTGCTTTTTGGGTGTTGAGGCCTGTGAGTTCTTTATATATTTTGGGTATTAACCCCTTGTGGGACATGTCATTTACAAATATATTCTCCCACACTGTAGGATGCCTTTTTGTTCTGCTGATGGTGTCCCTTTGCTGTACAGAAGCTTTTTAGCATGATGTAGTCCCATGTGTTCATTTTTTATTTTGTTTCCCCTGCCCGAGGAGATGCGTTCAGGAAAAAGTTGCTCATGTTTATATTCAAGAGATTTTTGCCTGTATTTTCTTCTAAGAGTTTTATGGTTTCATGTCTTACATTCAGGTCTTTGATTACCTTTTGTTTCTTTTTTATGACCTTGGAGAACTGTTACTTGTCTACTTTGTCTTGTTGAATTTTAAAGTTTTAAATTCTTAAGTTGCATCATTGCTTATATTGGTAATTTTTGTTTTAATACAAGCACTTATATTAAATCAAGACAGGCTTGTTCTATTTTAATGTTTTTAAAATGTGTTGAATTTATTAAATAGCTTTTGAGCATTTGCTAATATAATCAGAATTTGTTTAGCCTAGTGATAGGGTGTATCTGTTTTCTTATGGAACTGTCATTTTGTTCCAAGAATAAGCCTTCCTTGGACTAAGGGGAATTTACTGAAACACTGAAGATTTTGGTAGATTTTATTTAAAATTGTTATGTTCATTAGTGAGGCTGCGTTATAGGGTTTGTGTGGTGTTTGCCTGTGCATATTTAGTTATCTTTAGGTTTTGTCAGGTTTTAGCGTTAGGTTCAGATTTCTCATTAATGGAATTGGCCATTGATCAAGTCCTTGAAAGTTTGGGACTTGGTATTTTGGATTTCTTTCTTGGTGTTCTTTAAGGACATCTTTAATTTCTTCCTTAATTAGTTTTTTTTTATTGTTCTTTCAGTTTTAGTAATTTCTTATTTGTTTTGTAGAAAATAATAAATTTCTTTGAAGGTTTCTAATTTCTGTAATCATGCATACTATATATTTTTTAACTTAAAACTTTTTGTATTGATTTTTATAATCTTATTTTTGGTTCTGATTTTGTGGATACATTTGTGTATTGCTCTTCTTTTATTAAATTTGCCAGACGGTTGCATATTAGTCTTTTCAAGGAACTTAATTATAGTTTTATCTACTACCAGTTTTTCCTATCTAATATATCAGTTTTTTTCCTTACTATTTCTTCTGTTTTTCTTTGGGTTTTACACTGTTTCTCTAAGATGTATTTAAATGTGTAGTTTCTCCTTTTTTTTTTTCTACAATAAAGGATGGCAAAAGTGAAATTTTTTTCCTTTCCATCTATGTTTGAATAGCGGCTGGTATTCCCAATGACAGTAGTGACAGTGAAATGGAAGACACAACTACTGCTAATTTGGCGGCTTTGAAACTCGATGAGTGGCTCAATTTCAAACTAGAGCCTGAGGTAAGTTGCTTTTTAGTAGTGTGATAAATTATTCCATTCAATTAATATGAATTGATACACAGTAGTATGAAAATTATTTTAAAAATTTTGAACTCTTAAGAATATACAGCTTCTTTTTCAGTTTTCATAGGGCTTGCATACATTCTCTTATTTTGAGGTTTATTCCAAGAGAGGATTTGAAGAACTAGGTGTGGCTCAGTATTTAAGTATGTAATATTTGAATATTTCTGTGTATATAAGAAAATACTGAGTACTGGGTACACAGAACTCCTTTTATTTTGCATAACTCTGTCTTTAAGAGAAAGATATGAGTTCATTCTGTATTTTGTTTTCTCTTTTCATCTATCTCTGAATTGGGAAAGATGAATGTTTCTTTTACAAATTGAAAATTTTCTTGATGGAGCCTTCCCTTCATTCCATTTCTACTTTTAAAGACCATTCTATAGCCTTTTTTTTTTAGGGTAGCTAAGTTGTCAATAGTTGACACTGTTTAGGTTTGGTTCTGTATTATGCATTCATTCATCACATCAACCTATAGTCTCACTTCCATTTTCACCAGCCTTTCACTTCCCTAAAACTGTGCTTACTGGTCAACATTGTCTTGTATGTTGTCAAAACCAGCCTTCCTTCTTTGATACATCTGACTCTTCTCTCATATTTGCACTATTGTCCATAACCTTCTTTTTGTAATTATGCCCTTCCCCCTTTTCCATCTTTACTTCTTACTTCTTTGTCACTGTGACATTAGTCTTTGCTGATTCTTTTTTCTAGAGAGGTCATTCCTTCTTAGGTTCCTTCACTGACTCTTCTGTATGTGTTTGTTCCTTAAGAGTTAGACATTCTCAGGTACTCTGTGCTGTGCTTTGCTCTTCTCACTATCCCTTCACAATTGCTAGGGGTCTCACCTCTGTGTAAATTTAGTAACCATTTATTCATTGATGTTTCTCAAGTCTATCTATATCTCTAGCTTATACCTTTCTCTGGGCCTATGATTCTAGCTGCCTTCTGGACATTATCACTTGAATGTTCTACAGGCACTGAAATAAAGTGTGAATGGAGCTAAATTTATTTTTTAAAATTTATCCTGCTCTTACTTTTCTAGTATTAATTGCACTCTATCATATTTTGTTTACTGTGTCTATTTATTATACTTTACCATTTCCTATTATGTCTCTTGGACCACAAATATGGTAAATAAATTCTATTTCATTCATGCAACAGAAAGAATGAAATTAGTAGTAAATTACATAAAATGTAAAATGCATTCTTCACAAACAATTGCAGACCTGAATAAATAGGTGTCTTGCAAGTGTGATAAACAATTTGGTTGTATGTATTTGAACTGAGGAAACTATTTTATTACAGGTAGCTAGTTTATTGCTGCAGCTCAGACAGAAGTGGCACAGCTTATTTTTACGCCGAATAAAAGCTCCATCTAAACCGTGGACTCAAGTTGATGAAGCTATCATAAGAGCAATTATAGCTGTTTTAAGCACTGAAGAACAGTCTGCAGGTTTACAACAACCATCTGGGATTGGTCAAAGGCCAAGGCCTATGTCTTCAGAAGAACTTCCTTTGACATCATCCTGGAGGCCGAATAATAGTAGGAAAAGTTCAGCAGATGCTGAATTTTCTGAGGAGTCTGCTACTGCTGAAAGGTAAATTTGTAATATTTTATCAAAATGAGACATTTCCTCCAGAAAAATGAGTTATTTATCATAGAATGTGTTTTTCCTATATTTAAAAATTATTTCTAATATTTCTTATAATCTAAGACACACAAAGGTTACAATAAAATGGGAAGAGTTTTTTATTTTTGAAACATAATTCTTATTAGTATTAAGGTAATATAAAGGAGTTCAAGGTACTGGTATTTGTGAGTTATATAATAGGGAAACTTTCTATCAGGAAAAACTCAAAATGTTTAATTTTAAGAATTCACAAATTTATGCTTTGTTAAAAAGGTAGCAACTTTTTTCTTATGTATTTTAGTTAACATGGCAAGTGACATTTTTCTCAGATACCCTACATCAAGAAGTGCCAGCTGTGGCCACTTAAAAGAGCAACCTCTCCACAAGTGTGACCTAGGTGTCAAAGGCACTGACTAATCCCTACAGGAAAATCATTCATTCATTCATTTCTTCCATTCAGACACTTTGAATGCTTATTCTTGGTGTGAGGGATATATCAATGTATAAAACAGATAAGATCTCTTCCTTTAGAATTTATATTTTATTGAGGGGAGACATATCATAAATAGGTAAATGAATTTACTGTTGTGACAAAATTGTTACAGTTTAATCAAATACTTTGATTGTTTCTAACATAACAATTAGATGTGACATTTTTGTTTATTATATTTATTATATGATTATTAATAATAGCTCTTGTATTGAATTATGTATCCAAAGATACATTTTGGTAATATAATAGTAGTTATAATGAATCATTGGCCATAATTCAGAATTATATCTTGTTGTAAAAACATTTGTTAGAATCAAATTTGAGTTTCTATCAGAAATTTTTTTAACCCTCTTATAATTGATAACAGACAACATTTTTGCCTGTGATGCTGGTTTTGGCAATGTTGGTAGAAAGTCTGTATAGTAAGAATATGATTTCATTGTTAAAAGACTGAAAATAGAAACAATAGAAACATAAAAGATATGAGATGCTTATTGTTTTTTAAAGAGTAGATGGGGCTTTAGTACTATCTTTTGATCAGATTTTGCATATTTGAATGATGCATAAAGGCTTCATCCATTCAGACTTCAGTTAAAGAGGAGTAATAATACATATTGGCTTTCAGGTTCTTCAGTTATTACATGTTAGGAATAGCCAGTTGCCAAGAAAAACCTCATACTCTATGAGCCTGAACCTTCCTGATGTAGACCCTGCTGAATGAAAGAATAGTCTAAGTTCTACTTAAATGCTTCCCATCTTTTGAAAAGATTGTTCTAAAAGCTTACTTGAACAATGATTATTTAGAATGTGAAAGTACCTCAGAAAGTGCTATGGTAGTGTTATTTCTAGACCTGTCTATAAAAAAACCCTTGTTTTGTTGGATTTATGAGACTATATGTATATATGTGTGTGTATAAACACATATTTATGTGTATGTATGTGCATATATTCTCACACACGTACAGACACATGCTTAGAGAATAAAAGCTTCATTTTCCATTTGTAACAGTAATACATATTTAATAAATTTGGAAATACAGAAGGAAATAAGAATTAAAGTAACATTTGTTATCCTTTAGCCATTGATTATCTTATAAATTCAGTTGTTCATCTGTGATACTAGGATCAGCCATTTTCATTTTCTTACAAGTTGCAGCCTGGTGCTCTTCATTCTCTTACCTGTTGAACAGTAAGATACAGAATTTCATCTACTTTCAGACTTTTGGTAGTTTTAATAGGTAAGACCTGGACTTGATGTATCTTGGTGAGGAATAGAATGAGGACTCTTAGGAAGATTTATTTTTGGAGGGAGAAGTTACTTTTTTTTATGTGATTACTTGCAAAAATTTAGAGTTTTCACTCTAGGATGGCAAGATAAGGATAGATAATATCTTTTAATAAAAGCATTTTATTGAAACTATTTAAAAATAGTTTAAGAAACTATTAAAATAATAGAAATAGCCCATGTTCTATCCTGAAATCAAACCAATGTTTTTTTCTTATTTTCTAAATAATTTGATGGCAGAGGACAAATAAATATTTTATGTTAGAAAAAGGAGATATAACTGAGTTCTATATCAGAACTCTTTATTCTTAAATGAAAATTTAGGTGGAAGGGTTTATGGGAATAATTTATTTCTACCTGAGTGATATTTTCAGAGGAAGTCAAGTATGAGAGAGAGAAGCTAGAATAGAGCTCTGAGTAAAAATAATCGCAAAACCGCAAAAGTAGACATTAGTTCTACTGAAAATACCATTTTAGTTTTAATACGTTTAATCTTCATTAAGTTTTGCCATCTGATTTTCAGGTCAATTAGGTATCAGGGTAAGAATGATGGAATTTGAAAGGTTGTAACTAGATAATTCGTTGAACTTCAATTCACAAGGGAAAAAAGACCCTCAAAAGTTATGTTTTACACTTTTTATCAAGTTGTTAATGATTCAGATGTTCATTCGTTACATATATTTTTAATAATATCTTTAGATTTTTGCTATTTTATTTCATTTGTAAAAAATTATCCTGGATTTAAGATTTATTGAAAGAGAACTGGATTGTGGGGACAAGCTATTTTAACTTGTCTTGAAGACAGAGTAATTATAATTTTAAGATTCTATGGAAGCTTATGAATCATTGAATACTTATTATATTTTTTGATTTTGAACTTATATATTATAATTACTCTTAAACACAACAAAATAAATGATATTCTATAATGAACTCCATATTCCACATTCAACAGTTACCAAGATTTTCACATACTTGATGTAACTACCCCAATTTTCTTTTTTCTCTTGCTTTGTTTTTTAACATATTTCAAAATAAATTCTTTATGTCATGGCATTTTACCCTTCCATACTTAACTATGCATCTCTTAAAAATAGAGGCATTTTTTTATACATAATGAAAATCCAGTTATCAATTCCAATAAAATGATCATTTCTCCAATTCTCAAACTATAGATTTATTTGAATTAGTATCCCAGGAGGACTCAAGCATTGTTTTAGGGTGTCATGTTTCTTGAGTCTCTTGTGATCTAGAGCAGTTCCTCTGTTAACTCTTTGGAAAAACTAGGTCAGTAGTAATGTGAGATATACCAAATTCTGGATTTTTCTCTGTTTCTTCCTGTCATTATTTATTTCTATACCATATAAATTTCATGTAGACTGGAGTTAGCCCTAAGGGCTTGATTAGATCCCATATTTTGGCAAGAATGTTATAAAGGTTGTGCTCTGATCTTTATAGTGCATAACTTTAGCAAGTACTAAATTCTTTTTTTGTCTGTTTCAAATGTCTGGTTGTTCCACAGACATACACTTTTTAAAAAATTATAAAATTCCTGACTGCTGTCTTTGCTGCATTTATTCATAGAATTTTAGAGAAATCATACAGTTTATCTTGTATGATCCTTTTATTTAACAGGTAAGGAAATTAAAGCTCAGATAAGTTAAGAGACTTGTCAGGAATTTCATACCTAGTTATTTATAAATTTAGTACTATTCAAGAAATATTCTCTCTTGACTGTAGTCCGATATCTTCTTTCGACTTTCTCACTCAAGAGTATAAAAATTCCATTATACTGTAATTTTTGGTATGCTTTTTAAAATCTATTTTACTTGGTACTAAGGTATTGTATGAAAGTGGAGCAAAAGTGGAACAGATGATATTCTAGTTAGGGCCATTCTCATAGATGTATGGGCTTAAATAATTTGTATAATATTAAAAGACATTAAATATCAATATAAATATAATTGTGAAAGACCTCTCTGATACTACCATAAAAGAAGTTAGAGTTTTATAAGGGAAGTAGTACTTGAGTATTTGTTAATATTAAGTGAAGACTTTTTAGGTTGTTTTAAATGTATTTTTGTCTACTGTTTTTGTGAGTGTATCTTAATAGTCCAGCTGTTTCTTAACTTTGTAATAGAGAATGAAATCCCCTCTCCCCCTTTTTTTCTTATTACTATCATTATTTTTATTTTTATTTTTTTGGTATCATTAATCTACAATTACATGAGCGACACTATGGTTACTAGACTCCCCCCATCATCAAGTCCCCACCACATACCCCATTACAGTCACTGTCCATCAGCGTCATGAGATGCTGTAGAATCACTACTTGTCTTCTCTGTGTTGTACAGCCCTCCCCGTGCCCCCCACCCCCTACATTATGTCTGCTAATCGTAATGCCCCCTCTCCCCCCTTGTCCCTTCCCAACCATCCTCCCCAGTCCCTTTCCCTTTGGTAACTGTTAGTCCATTCTTGGGTTCTGTGAGTCTGCTGCTATTTTGTTCCTTCAGTTTTTGCTTTGTTCTTATACTCCACAGATGAGTGAAATCATTTGATACTTGTCTTTTTTCGCCTGGCTTATTTCACTGAGCATAATACCCTCTAGCTCCATCCATGTTGTTGCAAATGGTAGGATTTGTTTTCTTATGGCTGACTAATATTCCATTGTGTATATGTACCACATCTTCTTTATCCATTCATCTACTGGTGGACACTTAGGTTGCTTCCATTTCTTGGCTATTGTAAATAGTGCTGTGATAAACATAGGGGTGCATATGTCTTTTTTCAACTGGGCTCCTGCATTATTAGGGTAAATTCCTCGGAGTGGAATTCTTGGGTCAAATGGTATTTCTATTTTGAGCTTTTTGAGGAAACTCCATACTGCTTTCCACAATGGTTGAACTAATTTACATTCCCACCAGCAGTGTAGGAGGGTTCCCCTTTCTCCACATCCTCACCAACATCTGTTGTTTGTCTTTTGGATGGTGACCATCCTAACTGGTGTGAGGTGATATCTCATTGTGGTTTTAATTTGCATTTCTCTGATGATTAGTGATGTGGAACATCTTTTCATGTGTCTGTTGGCCATCTGAATTTCTTCTTTGGAGAACTGTCTGTTCAGATCCTCTGCCCATTTTTTAATTGGATTATTGACTTTTGTTTGTTGAAGTGCGTGAGATCCTTATGTATTTTGGATGTCAAGCCTTTATCGGATCTGTCATTTATGAATATATTCTCCCATACTGTAGAATGTTTTTTTGTTCTATTGATGATGTCCTTTGCTGTACAGAAGCTTTTCAGCTTGATATAGTCCCACTTGTTCATCTTTGCTTTTGTTTCCCTTGCCCGGGGGGATATGTTCATGAAGAAGTTGCTCATGTTTATGTCCAAGAGATTTTTGCCTATGTTTTTTTCTAAGAGTTTTATGGTTTCATGACTTACATTCAGATATTTGATCCATTTCTAATTTACTTTTGTGTATGGGGTTAGACAGTGATCCAGTTTCATTCTCTTACATGTATCTGTCCAGTTTTGCCAACACCACTTGTTGAAGAGGCTGTCATTTCCCCATTGTATATCCATGGCTCCTTTATCGTATATTAATTGACCATATATGTTTGGGTTAATATCTGGACTCTCTATTCTGTGCCACTGGTCTGTGGGTCTGTTCTGTGTCAGTACCAAATTGTCTTTATTACTGTGGCTTTGTAGTAGAGCTTGAAGTTGGGAAGCGAGATCCCCCCTGCTTTATTCTTCCTTCTCAGGATTGCTTTGGCTATTGAAATACTCTTTTTAAATAATATTTTGTAAATCATACTGTCATTGGAACTTTGGTTTGAAATGGCATCTGCTTTGATTATGAACTTATTTATAACTGATATTTGCTTCTTCTTTCTCACTCAAGAGTATTGATGAAATCTCCATCCCCAGCCATACACCTACCTCAGAAGTGCAAAGATAGAGGAATTTTACATCCTAAACGAAGCACTGATGACCGATCAGATCAATATTCTGTGAAATCTACAGACAGCAGTAGTTACCCAAGTCCGTGTGCTAGTCCTTCTCCTCCATCCCCAGGAAAGGTAGAGTATCTAAAAGTCGATGTCGCAAGGAACAGATATAATTACTTTTCAGCTTCTAAGCATGGCCTATGTTCTAGATAATAAATGGAAGCTGACACACTTGAGACATCTTGAGTAAACTTTTTAGTTTTTTTCTGCTTGTCAAATATTTCTAGTTATTACTATTTTGGAGTGTTTTAAAACTAACAGGTCATTCATGATGGCATGTAGCTAGGTAGGTCATTATTTGTTTTCCTTATCTTTAGAACCTTTTTTTGTTAAAACAAATAACAGAATATCTTAAATTAATTTTGGTTTATAATTTCAGAATTGAAAACAGTGGTTTCTTTTAATTGCTAATTGATTTCTCCAACTCAATAGTTATACAGCTGACCCTTGAACAACATGGTAGTTATGAGTGCTGATCTCCCATCCAGTCAAAAAACCGAGTATAATTTGTAACTCCCCCAAAACTTAGCTACTAATAGCCTTCTTTTGACTGGAAGCTTTACTGATAACATATACAGTTGATTAACATACATGTTTTATGTTACATGTATTATATAATGTATTCTTATAATAAAGTAAGCTAGAGGAAGAAATGTTTTTTTCAGATATTTACAAATCTCCAAAAAATTTTCCAATATATTTATGAAAAAAATATGTGTGTAAGTGGACACCCACTGTCCAAACCCTTGTTGCTCAAGGGTCAGCTGTGTTGAAAAATACAAGACAGGATGGGTTTAGGAAGACAGGAAATATCCAAAGGGAATTGAGAAGTATGTGTCTTTTAAAAAATCTGTAATATGAATGACTTCAAACATTTAGAATATGTTTACTTTTACTTTCCTACATTGTTAGTACCTGAGTAAGTATTTGATTAGGGTTATTTAGCTACATGTAGTGTTCTGGTTAAAACATCTTCTGAAACACTTATTAAATAAGAGGGAGAGAAATGCCTTTGTGGATTTGCATTCCTAGGTTAAAAATTTTTTTAATACCTTTATTAAAGTATAATTTATACACAATAAAATTCACCCATTTAACTGTATAATTCAGTGAATTTTGACAAATATATACAATCATGTAACTGTATCACAGTCATATATACAACATTTCCATCACCGCTGGCTCCTGGCAACCCTCAACTGTTCTCTGTCTCTAGAGTTTTTTGCCATTTCTGGAAATTCCTGTAAATGAATCATATGTAAGTAGCTTTTTGTGACTAGCTTATTTTACTTTTGAAATTCATCCACATTATTTAGTAATATATATTGTTAGTTTATTGCTTTTTAATCACTGAATAGTATCCTAGTGTATGGGTATACCACAGTAGGTATATCCATTCACCAACTGATGGATATTTGGATTGTTTACACTTTTTTGTTATTATGAGTAAAGCTGCTATAATATTTGAATACACGTCTTTATGTGTAAATGTCTTCTATTCTTGGGTAAATGCCCAGGAGTAGGATTGTTGGGTTGTATGGTAAGTGTATGTTTAACTTTACAACAAACTACCCAGCTGTTTTCCAAAGAGGCTACACTTTTCATTTGCTTATTTGTCATTGTATTTTCTTTGAAGTATCTGTTCAAATTCTTGTTCAGCTTTCTTGGGTTGTTTATTGGTTGGCTGTTTTTTTTTAAATTAGCAGTAAGAGTTTTTTAATATACTCTGGATGCAAGTATTAATCATATATATTTTGCAGTTCTTTTCTAACAGTTTGTTTGCATTTGCATTTTTTTAGTAGTGTCTTTTGAAGAGCACATGTTTTTAATTCTGATTAAGTCCATTTAATCTATTTTTTCCTATTCTGCTTCATATTTTTTGTGTCCTGAGAAATGTTTAACTCAAGAATACAAAGATCTTCTTTCTTTACTTCTAGAAATTTTGTAGGTGGAGCTCTTATATTTAGGTATATGATTATTTTGAGTTAATTTTTGTTTATAGTATGGGTAGGTAAAGGATCATTTTTTTGGCATTTGCCTGTACAGTTGTTCTAGCATCATTTGTTGAAAAGATTAATTCTTTTTACATTGAATTACCTTAGCATGTTTGTCAAAAAGATCAGTTGATTGACCATAAATATGTCATCTATTTATTTGGTCTCTATTCCATTTCATTAATCTGTATATTTCTCTTTTTGCAAATGCTGCAGTGGCTTCATTATAGTATCTTTATAGTAAATCTTGAAATTAGTTAATGTTTTTTCCTCCAACTGTGTTCTTTTTCAAAATTGTTTTGGTTATTCTGGTTCCTTTGTGCTTTCATAGAAACTTCAGGAAAAGCTTGTCAATTTTTGTAGAGAATTTTTTTGGTATTTTGAGTGGAATTGCATTGAATTTGTAGACCAATTTGAAGACAACAAATTTTAGTCTTCTAATTCACAAGTATGTTATATATCGGCATTTATTTAGATATTTTAAAATTTCTTTCAACTGTGCTTTGTAAATTTTAGAGTTCAATTATCACAGATTTTTTAAGTTTATCCCTAAATATTTTATGTTTTTTGATGCTGTTGTTTTTAAATTTTTTATTTCAGTTGTTCATTACTAGCACATAGACATACATTTGATTATATTTACCCTGTATTACACTATCTTACATTACTTATTAATTATATTAGCTTTTTATATAGCTTTCTCAGGATTTTCTACATAGATATCATGACATCTGTTAATAAAACTAGTTTTACTTTTTTCCTTTCCAGTGTGGAAGCTGTTTATTTCCTTTCTTGTCTCTCTGGCTAGAACCTCCAGTAAAAAAATGTTCAATAAAAATTTTGATGGGAGACATCTTTGCCGCGACCTTGGAGGAAAGAAAGCCTTAATTAAGTCTTTGACCATTTAGCAGGATATAACTTTGGATCATTTCCTTTCGGAAATAGTTTGCTGAGAGGGTTTATTATGAATAAGCATTGATTGTGTTCAAAGCTTTTTTTACATCTCTTGAAATTATAACTTCTTTTTTAGGTCTATTAAAATAGTGGATTTCATTGATTTTTTTTAAGTGTTTTTTTATTGAAGTATAGTTGATATCCAATATTATATTGATTTTAAGTATACATCACAGTGATTCAACAGTTATCACGTTAAGTCTTCACCACAACTAGTGCATTGTCTGTCAACATAGGAAGATATTAGAGAACCATTGACTATATTCTCCATGCTGTATATTCTCCATTCTCTCCCCATGATCAGCTTATATTTTGACTGAGATTTTTGTACCTTCGTATCCCCTCACCCACCCAACTCACTGACTCCCAACCCCTCCCCCACAATAACCACCAGTCACTTCTCAGTGTCTATGAGTCTTCTGCTGTTTTGTTAATTTTGTTTTGTTTTGTTTTCAGATTCCACATGTAAGTGAAGTCGTATGGCATATATCTTTCTTTGCTTGGCTTATTTTATTCAGCATAATACCGTCTAGGTCCATCCATGTTGTTGTAAATGGCAGTCTTTCTTTTTCTTTTTTTTTTTTTTTT